TCTACTCATATACACTGCTCCGGACCTCCCGCCCTCGGCGCATCATCCACCCTGACTTGCCACGAGCGGACTATACCATCGTCACCAGTAGTCACCAGCATCTCCTCCTCTCCTCGTTTCTCAGAGCCAGCATCATAACGCCGACACCAGGTTATATGGTTTACTTCGAATGGTCCATGAGAATTGGGTATTGTAGTTAGCAATTCCCACGTTGTCGGAGATGGTGCCATTGTTGAAGGCTGCGCATTAGACATGCTCGGCATGACAGAGCCATCAATACAGGCAGTATTGTCATGCTGCCCTTCAGAGGCTGTCACAGATACAGACGGGGTGTCAGCTTCTTTGTAGAGAGCAACCTTGCCGTCCCTTCCTGTGGTGGCAACCAAGCCGGAATCCTTGCTCCAAGTGACAGAGTATACATCTCGATCGTGAGCCGTGGGCAAAACAGCAGCACATGTCCATTCCTCTCTCAGAGACCTCCTCATGGTGTTGGGAATGCCCCCAAGAGAACTTCGGCTCCCCGCCCCGAATCCATCGTTGTCTTCTTGGCCCTCTGGATCTTGCTGGAGCGTCCACAGGCGCACCGTCCCATCGGCAGAGTAGCTAAGTAAGCGTGGGAAGCGGTCGTTGTTAGGCCGCGGCTCCCATTCAATACCCCAGACGGTTCCTTCGTGGCCTTCCAGAACCGCGACACAGACCCATTCGCCATCACCGTCCTCGCGCCATATACGGACGGTGTTGTCGTAGCTGGCGCTGGCAAGGACGTCGGAGCTGTACTGGCGGCGAGAATTCCTCCCCGGAACATCTGGACACCAAGCCACGGCTTTGACATCTCCCTCGTGCTCATTAAGCACGGCAACGGTTTCCCACTCGTCGTCTGTTTCGGATGCGCCAATGTCCTCCCAGATCCACACGGACTTGTCGCGCGAACAGGTGGCAAGGTATGCGCCGGACGGTGCAAACGCACAGCCTTTTATCTCCGAGTCGTGGCCTTCCAGAACCAGTGTGAACTCCCAGTCCTTGTCGCCAACATGGCTCGTCTCGTCGCTGTCGGCGCTTCCCACCTTTCTGCCCAAGGCTGTGATTTCTACCTCATTCTCATCCGGAGGTGCCCCAGCGGTCGCCGCTGTAGAGTCGCCGTCCCAGCGCCATAGTCCCGCGGTAGCATCAAAGCTTCCGGACACGAGGCACAGCTTATGAGGCTGTAGGCCAGGCTTCCAGGCTACGGATCGAACGGATCGGGTATGGCCGCCGGTTAGGTTGCTATGGCACGAAAGCGTGGACAGAGAAAACACGGTGACGGACTTTGCGTGGGCTGTCGCAATCAAGGGGAGGGTCGGGTGCGGTATTGATGCCCATGCTCGTTCATGGAGATCAGGTTGGAAAGGTTGGATCAAGGTAATGGTAGCCGTCGTTGACGAGCAACGTGACGCTGCGGGGGACATTTTCAGGGTACACGATTCAAGCGGTTCAAGGGTCGTTTGCGGGCTCGTGGATAGATTGATGACAGAGGGGACCCGAAGGCTTCCCCAGCATTCGACTGTAGCGGTCGGATCGAGCCAGGGCAGCTGGAATGGCGGAGATGGCGTTGTAAACGCGAAGATGGAAGGCTTGAGGTGTTCGCCACGGTGGAATAGGTACTCTGTACTTTGCAGTTCAATCCTGAAGTCGCACACACTGCGGCCATCAAATTGCAGTTCTGGACCTGTTGCCCCGCTGATAAGATACGACCGAGTAAAGTAGGAAGGGATTGCGGCACGGCACATCTAAACTCGACCATCCCGTACGTTGACATTCAGGATTGCGCAAAGAAAGTATTTATTTAAAAAAAAAATTGTGATTTCTATAGAGTATATTTATTTAATCGTTCCGTCATCTACATCGAAGCTTTCTAGCATCATTGCACCCCTCATATACTGTCCAACCTCGACTCCATCCATGCATGTCCGCGTTGGTTGGTGATTCACCTCCATACATATTAGCCACGCCTAGATCTGGTTTAAACTCTTCAAACTCTCAGCAAAATATTTCTTGTCATCCTTGTCACTCTCCCAGATTGGCACCCTTCCTCCCTCGTGCTTTCCGGGGCAGACAAACCCATATTCCAATTAGGAAAACCAAGACTGCCAGAATAATAGGCTGCAGCACTCCAACGCCATGACCTTCTGCGATGGCACCAACAGCAAATGGCAAGACAGCAGCGCCACCGCCTCCAATGGCAGACGAGAACCCAATAGCACTGATATGATACTCACTAGGTAGTACTTGGGTTGCAACGACGATGGCGGCCGGAAAGAGCGGCCCCAGAAAGAAACCCAAAGCCGATACGAACAACATTGCACCGACTGTGGTGGGAATTAACCAATATGCAAGTTGAAAAGCAATGCATAATACTAAATATGCGGTGATGGCGAGCCTCTCTCCAACCCGACCCGTGACGAAACCTAAAACAATCCGGCCAAGTGATAAGCCGAGCCAGAAGAGTGTGGCAGTGACGCCGGCCAGAAGACCGTCGGCATGTCTCTCTTCCATCATGAAAGTTGGGATCCAACCACCTAGACTAACCTCCGCACCGGCATACAGGAGTAAAAAGATGGCGATTAGCCATGTGACGGGCTCTCGGAGGACCGTGGCCGTCCTTGCTCCTCCACCAGAGCCCCCTTTGTGAAGCTTCTCGCGGTGCGCTGCTCCAGTAGCACCCCAAAAAGCCCACAGTCCAAAGGAAAGCTCAACACACACAACCAAGATGAAAATGTAGTAGAAAGAGTACCAGGGCATCTTCAGCTTGGCCACCATCGTCGACGAAATGATAGGTGCCACAGTTGCGCCGAGACCAAACGCCCCATGAATGATGCCCAGCAGCTCGTTGGTTTGGTGCATGTTGCCGACCCACGCATTGTAAGCGCTGTCTTCAATACCACTTCCAAATCCAGTGAACATGAAGAGTATGGGTAGAAGAGGAAATGGCGGACGAAAGACTATTGGAACATATCCAATGAGGCGGAAGAGCGGGCCTAGGAATGCGATGCCTCGCTGGCCAACCTGATAGTGAATCCAGTTATTCGACAGTGCTGCGGTAACATATCCAAGAAACGGCACTATGAATATTGTTGAGACAGTGGTATGGTTTATATCATAGTATTCTTCGATCTAGTGAGGGTCAGCTTCGTTTATTTATGTCACATGGTAGGTAGACGCGACCATCTACACACAAGGCCAACTCACATATGGGAGAAGAGCCTGGTGTTACGAGAAAAGAAGTCGTGCGTATCAGCATATCATACAATTCTTCGAGTCAAGATGGAATAGAATGAGCCGTGCAATCGGTTTTGATACATACGCCGATGCAGCCGTCATGCATGCCCATAACGAAAAATGACAAATTGACCGCGCAATATCGATACATGTTGATTCGTGGATTGTTCCATGCTTCACGACGGGGGTTGTTATCGACTTCGCAGCTGTCTGCGTCATCTTGGAGATCATCACCAGCTACTTCAGCACCATCTTCTGTGTTTCGCAAGAGACTGGCAGCGGCCGACTCGTTGTCGTGGGATAGTTGGTCTTCGTTACTGTCCTGGAAACCCGTCCATCTGGGCACAGGCGTAGAGAGTTGAGGGCTCGCCATGTCGAGAGGCAACGGCTATACAGAGACACGGAAAGAGGGCAAAGCTTGGATGGTCTGTTAAATAAATATAAAGAAAGTGGGCGAAGAAAGGACAGATGTGCCGATAGTAGAGGGCAGTATTGTGTCCTATTTCACCAAGCATTCAAGTCATCTTTGCATTTGGCGATCCGATAGTGTGGTTTCTAGATGACTATGAAATGCGAGTGAATGTCCGGCCAGACAGAACGAATCGGGATGATGGAATACGGTCGGCGTGGTTACCGGACGCATCCCACGTACATACATACTTAGGCATAGGAACCCATGTCGCAAAGCAAGTTGGAACTTGGGCGCCTCCACATATGCTGCATGTTGATACGAGGCTCCATGATTGAGAGCGATGAGGGACCCCCTCTTTCTTCCTAGTTTCTTGGGCAGGTGCTTTGTAACTACTCCGTACCCATCCCCGATAACGGGACATGGAAAACAAGACCTCAAGTCCTGGTGGTCCAGATCTTAACCGCCCAGAGATGTGTGTCTTCATCATCGTTACTTGACTTGACTGGGACAACTTGATCCGCCATGTGCCTGGATCCCACGTGACTGCCTATAACCTTTCATCTGTGACGGAGGACACATCAGCCGCCATCAGTTTTCAACTTGTTCTGGCGGCTCCTCCGAAAAGTGACATTTGTCTCTCAGCCATGTCACTCACCACCATGAGGCCATCACGTACTACCACACAGCGAATCTTTGGGCATTTCCGCATACCACGGGCTGCAACAATGGCCGCATTTACTGTGCATCGTACTAGGACAAGCATAAACTCCGCCATGTCGTTCTCATTTCGCGAGCGCACAGTTCTTCTCTTCCTGTGTACCATGCCCATACTCCACACGATTAGGGAACTCCGGGTCGCCATCTGGTGCCGCTCGCCTCCTTTCTGCACCCTTTTGACTGGTGACCACCCTTAGTGAGCACCTAGAGTAAGGTTGTCTTCCTATGTCAGGACTGGTCCCTGTTACATTCGATGGAGCGATTGAGAACGACGCCGCCTGTCTTGGTCCCAAGACTGTCCATGGCCTGGGTCTGGTACGTGCATGTCAGCTGCCCGCCCCTTCCTTCCACTAGCTCGGCCTCTTCGCCCTTCAATGTTGATACATGTATTAATTAATCGGGCTGAGCTTACCGCCAGCTGGCACATCATGCCACAGCCTCCGTAGAGACCGACAGCAGTCGCAGTCACTGAGCAGCTTCTGCGCCGGAAAACAGCTTCTGACTCGAATCAATTCTGGGCTCTATTGCTACTTACTGCTCTTTAAATTCTTCCAAGGCTACTGCTCTTGCCGCAGCCTCCGCCTCTTCTTCTTCAGACAGTCTTATTGCCATCGTCATGTCTAGCCGTCAAGTAAACCGGCTCGACTCAAGCCGCTTGTCAGACCGTCATCATGACTACTACGCCTCGGAACGCCAGTCTGGCAGAAGTGCCACGTCCAAGGTGCCTGACCAGGAGAATATCCCCCAGGGCTTGAATGAGTCTTATTATCGGGAGACCGCCGCCGCACTTGGAATGCCCATGGACGACGGGTCTCGTTCTCATTCAGTGCCGCTACCGACTTCTGCCGTCGTCCGCTATCCCCGGTCTCCATCGATTTCGTCTTCTAGATCCTCCTCTCGCTCCTATTGCAGTGTGTCTCGCGACAATGAACACAGCCCTGGTTCGGTGAATCAAACTCGCGGTATAATCCAAAGCAATTTCTCTCAAACGAGGGCAGGAATCGGAGCTGGTATTGTTGGAGCTGTCATCGGAGGACTTGTCGCCAAACAGGCTTCTGAAGCAGCATTTCGCCACAAGCAAAAGCAAACTGGTCGCCCACGTCGCCACAGCTCTGAGACCATACCCCGTATGGCGTCTACTGTGCTTGGTGCTGTAGCCGGTGCGCTGGGCGCAAATGCCGTGACCCATAGATGGGAAGATGCCAGAGAAAGGAACAGGAGTCAGCAATTAACGGGGGGAAAACGGTATGACCGAGAAGATGACACGACCCACTACGATACAGGAAGACTACAAGATTGGAATCACGCAAATGGCAAGGGATATCTTTCTGACGCTCATGACTACCACCATGTATACCGCAGAGAGCGGCAACAAGATGACCACCACTCAAGACGACGTCGCATTGAAGAATCACAGCTCTATCACTACCGAGACTAGTCATCGTCAACTTGTTCACCATACCTACAATTTAAAGCACACGTCCTCAAAGATTAGTATTTCAAATGCGAGCTTTCTTCAATATCTTGGGTCTAATTCTTATAAACAGCTGTTGCTTGTTCTCGTGGCACTTTATTCAAGCTACCGCCAGGCTTAGAGAAGCTGCATTTCGATCAAATTAATGCACACCATGCTATTATTAAACATCCTCTGGAAGCAATATTGTACCCTTTGAGAGCCAATCTTACTTTATTTAGTTGATGAAGAATGAGAAAAAAATTGAGATTCTGCATATAATTATCTGAACACATGCTCTTGCGCGGTTATTTAGTGACGTTACTTGTCCCGACAAGGTTGGGTTGCCTGTAACCTCTGTCCTCGACAAAAATCTGTGCTTTATTCCTGAAACCCTATACAAAGATGCCATCGACGTATCAACAACTTCATACAACAAAAAACAAAAAGAAGAGGAAGAGGAAGAGAGACAGAAAGGAATAGACCACGCAGCCAATCAGCCACCAAGCTGTGGTAGTCATTTCTCTTTCTGAAAATCTTGCACTACCTAGTAAGTTAATGAGAATCCGCCAAAGCGAGGAGACCCTTTCTGTGTACTATGGCGAGACGTAACCCACTTTGCGCTCGACTTCATCGTCGCAAATCTGCATGATGGCTGTTCTGCCAACCAGTACTCCCAGGAATGGTTGACCTAGTGTGTCTCCCTACAGGCTCATGCTTTGCACACTCCCTCTCGACGATCATTCTGAAAAACCGACCTATTTCGGCCAGGGCTAGCTGTTGAGCGTTAGAAACGTTCATCATGTCAAACAGAGATTGAGAGTCGATTAACTGCTTCGCAATAACGGAGTCTGGTTGGCAGAAGGTGCGAACACGCATAGCACGAGCATTCACCTTCATGGAGTGAAGAAGGCCCATTATCTCTGCCGGGTTATTTTGTCGTCGTCCGTAGAAGTTGAATTCCTTCAGGTGTAAGGCTACCAACTCTAGCTGGGTTTCTAGGTCGTAACGAAAGCTGATTACTCTTGGCCGGCCTTGTTGGATCCAGGAGTCTGATGTCTTTTTGAGATTGTCAGGTAGCAAATGCCCCTTTTCGAATTCAGCGGTGATATAATCGTTCATGGCAGAAGTTAAGTGAAACTCCAATTCACAGTAGAGTAAACTTTGCTCTCGAGCATCCAAGGATATAGTAACATGGGATGAGTTCGTCAAATCTGGCGATGAGAGATTTGATCGTCTATTCGACGTGTTCAGCTCCGCTGTCTAATTCCCTATCAGTTGGTCTCTGACCTAATTCATGTATTTTATCACTATACGCACCACGTCCTTTGCGATTTTCTTGATGCTGTTTAGGAAAAAACCAAGTTTCTTTACTTGCGGCTTCTTCTCATCGTCATCGGCTTTGCCTGTGCACTCTAGCCACCCATTTTGACCAATCATGGTCTTCTCACCTTTCCTTGTTGAAGGGAAGTTTTGTCCCCGAAAGTAAAGAGGTAATGGTGAGAACTGTGGACTCGGTTCAATCATTCCGGTCAGATGTTGTGGAACCTCATGCCGAGTCACCCTGGAAAAGGCCTCATCTGACGCTGGTGATGGGACGCTACACGAATCTATGGGGTCGGGTGTACTTTGAGATCTTTTTTGTCTTTTCATAAGACTCTGATGTCTCTTTGGGTACTCTGGACGAGCGTCCGGGGCTCGAATATTTGACCACGAATTGTACATGTTGAGAATAGCCCTGTTTACTTGTTGCCCCGGACTCTCATAGTCAGTTGTATACATTGTATGCTCGGTCTTCCCAGAACACATGTAACCACTGCTTCCAGGTCCGGGCCGGTCGCCCTCTTCAGGTTTCTTCTTTTCTGAGGGCTGTTTTTCGGGCAAGATCTCTAAGCCAGAAATCGACTCTTGTCTGGAGTGATGGATATGGGACTGTTGCACCTGCGTGATTGTATTTATTGGAGGCGGAGGCGTTTGGTTCCGACGCTGAGCCAAGCTTCCAACACGAAGTACCCTATCCGGGTTCTTCGGTGCCATTTCAAGGATAGTGGGAAAGCCTTCATCAGCATGGTTCCCGCCACCTTTCCGTTCATGTGCCAGTTGCGCTTCATTCCTATCGCAAATTTCACTCTTCGGGGCCAGGGGCGTTGGCATCGTTGGCACCGCTGGCTTCTGCGTTCTGGTAGGGCTTTTATCGACTGTATGGGTAATACTTGGTTAAGAGTTGGTCAGTAAATATGTCTTGCATGGGGTCATAATTGATCCGAAGAGTCCACCTACGCCTGGGTGACTTTGTTCATCTGTCGTTCGGTTAAGTTAACGCGTATGGTCAACGGCTGTCGGGCACGGCGCTTCCCAGGCGAACTGCTATGAGACTTTGTTACTACATATACTCGATTCGGCGTCGTGGGTGACGTTGATGGCGGCTGGCCACTGCGGTCAGCAGTGCCTAGATTTGGTTCCGGCTCCTGGGGAGCCATTTAGGTGTGTCTGCTCAGCGCATGCAGTACATGCGGCAGATCAAGATGAATATCAGACTATGTTCATGTAATGTCGCGATCTAACTGCAGTACGCGGGCTTTGGAGGTAAACAAGTCCCAGGACACGAGCAATGCAGTGCTCCGGTAAGGTTCGCAAGTCAATTTCAACAGGCGGCACAGAACTGGCACGAGCTGGTGCATATTATTGTTGTTTGTTTTGCTATAAAATGGGAAGCACAGTGCACCTATTAATTAGTCTGCCAGCTGGCCGCAGCGGCTCTGGCAGCTGGCAGCAATAAAGAAGAGGATAGATACACCCACGTTGGGTCTGGTTGCCAACTTCTTGCAAACCAAGCACTAATAAAGGCAACTAAAAGTCAACCCCGTGTGCAGCCCATTCAAGATGAATTTCCGGTATCAGTCCAGTCCCAATACTACATACCTACTTTACCTAAGGTACCTACCGGGTACTCGAGTGCATAGGATACAGAAGATGCCGCTGACTGACACCTCGCCTCGTGTCCTCGAGTGCTGTGTACTTAAGTACTTTATGAACGCCCCTACCATCAGGTTGGAATCCTTTCGGCGGCCGCAATGAGAGACACAGCAAGTAGTGTCAAGTACCTACCTAGGTAGGTACTTACTTAGGTAGCTGACCAAAGTCTGGCGTACTTATACGTTGCTACCACTTTCAACACAAGTACAGAGTACTTGAGTATGTAAGTACTTAAGTACTTACTTAGTAAGTAGCTTTAATATATGGTGGTCTAGGCTTCGTGCTCGTGATGATGTTGGGTTGCTCAAAAACACCAGTCGACATGTACAAGTTATGCAGTTGGCCTGTGCGGACGAGGTCAACTGTCCAGATGGTCAGCAATGCAGCATGACGGACCGTGTCGGTCATTTCGGCCACCGGCTCCACTCCTCTACCCCTCCACTGCCTCGACATGCCGATGTCAGATCCCGAGACCACACCGTCACGGCGCCTAATAGCACTGCTTCTTTATTATTTGGTCATCCTATTAGTAATATTAAATTTCATGCGCTCCCCGCCATTTATCCCTGGCTTCCCCACAGATGATGGAGGGAACGTGTATGTACTTAAGTATGTAGTCGCCAATACGAAGAAAAGTACTTTTGCATTCAATCTGCAGTTGGGATATGACAAGACGGTGATGAGCAAGAGAACAACCCCGGAAACGCATCATTGTAAAGCGAAGGCTCCACGTGCACTATTCATCATGCTGAGATTCCACCAAGACTCACAAACTCGATAGCGAGGGCTGGAGGATCGCGCATATAACATAACGTTGGACGAGTGCTGCACAGTCTTCTTGCATTGAGCGAGGTCTAGGGGGGGAAGTATTGAATGTGTCGTTCTGCTTTGATTGGCTGTAAGCTCTAGTTTACCGTTGCAGCCGCTTGTTTGGTGCTGCCAATACTCTATAAGTTCAAGAAGTCTCTGGAGCCATTTTGACTCCCGTTTCCTATTCCCGCGTCTTGCCCTACCTACTACATGTGATACGTACATACGAAGTATGTACTATTAGCAACCAACCGTTGACCCATTCTCCACGTTCATTTACAGCATCCGCCCCCGCTGCTGTTCTATTGGTTGACCGGAGCCCTGGCTTCCTCTTGTCTGATGCCACCAGGCCCAACTGGAACTAGTCCATGACAGCATCCTGAAGCCGCCATTTCTCAACATTGAAAAGTCTAAAGTGTTGAATCCCTCCCGTGTTCAAGTGCCATTCCCGCCCTGGGTGCCGTGTCTGCACCCATCCGATCCGTGCTCTCGGGGGAGTGGCGCGGCAACCGTTTTATCTGTACGGATCATGGAGCAGGTACATGTAAGCACATGTAGGCATCCAGGCACCAGCTAGGCACCTCCCTACTTTATCTACTTACCTAAGTACTTTAGGGCACTTCCTCAAGCAAGGTGCCGCCGGCCTTGCAACTTGCTCGGGCAGTGTGCCACTGCTACCGTGGTCAAATATCTGTCCGGGCTTCGGAGTTGGGAGTCGGGAGCTTGCGCATTTGCCAGCCAACTGGTATTACATGTATGTGATCGGAAGTTCGGAGTATTCTGCACTCTTGACCAAAATCGTGTACTCCCACATCCACTGCACCATTGAACCGCGCCTTCTTCGTTCATAAATACAGCTCTGCACCTCGTACGCCTCGGTCTGTCAATTCTGGTCTACTCAACCTACCAGACTCAACTCTAGAACCCCCTGCTGCATTCTCTCTACCATAGCAAAGTATTTCAGTTGTCACTGACAGTCTCCAAGACTCTCCTTCTGAAGGCGAGCGTACAGAGTCAATTACTACGACATCACACCCCGACACAACGCAACTTTCGCATTCCTGGCATTCGTCTATTTCCCAATTTTCGACTGTATTGACTCACCCTGGTTGCTGTCATCCTTCAGACTACCATTTCTTGCCCCTCCCTCTCCTCCTTTCTTTAATACCGATCACTTCCTGTGCAAGTGCTTTTCCCTC